GTACTGAAAAAGGCTGATAAAGATTCCCATGCTGAATGGGCCTGCCAGCTACACCGAGCCGCTCTGGGGTTGTTGAAAGCCCACAAAGCAAACACTATGAAGGACTTGTTACAGTTGGTGCTACTGGAGCAATTTTTTTATGGTTGGCTGTTGTAGTTACCAGGCAGCAGGCCCGCACCAGAGCTCACACCCTAGAGTGTGTACCCTGGGCTGCTACCACTGAGTTTGGGAAAGAGGTGACCACAGACCCCACGCTACAGGTTTACAGGGATAGGGGGTTACCTCTAGTCAGGCGGGATTAGAGAGGGGAAAAGTATGTGTGGGATAAGGGACTGCTGTACAGGGCGTCTGAGCGGCTAGTGTCCGGGTCAGAACCGACCCCCACTAGGCAGCTGGTGGTACCCCAGCGGGACCAGCAAGAGCTGCTCCAGATAGCGCATGACATCCCGCTATTCGGACATTTAGGGGTGAGCCGGACCAGATATCGGCTTACCCAAAATTTCTTTTGGCCCCGAGATTTTGCAGGATATTAGGCAGTATTGCCAGATGTGCTTTTCCTCACTTCAAAACAAAAAGGGAGAACATTACCAAGTGAAACATAGGTGCAATAAAATGGTTGCCATGCAGGAAATTATACATGCATTCCACCATCACAAAGACATTTTGGATGGCAATCCACAGTAAGAACACACTAAAATATAAAAATGTTACCATAACCCATCTGACCAAAAGGACTGGTATGATAGTCCATTAGAAAGGCAGTGTTTTGGTTGTTTTTGGAAAGATTAGGATGTAGATTTCTTCTAAACTTTTAAGAGTGCTGTGGAGAGAAGATGGGACCATATTTTGAGTAAAACAGTTCAGTGGCTTCACTATACTCCATTGACATTATAAATGTGTAGCCACAAAGCTTAGGTTCAATCAAAACAGACTACGAGGCATTTGGCTACTGGAATAATTAATTTTGCAGCTTAGCATTAGAAAACCAACATGAAAGTAAGCAGTGAGAAAGTTTGCAATTAAAACACTCCTCATTCAAGCATAGATTGTAAATAATTGCATTTAAAGTGAGCAGCAAAATAATGCATTGTTTTGGAGTTGCTTGTGCCAGTGAGAAATATATTAAAAGGGACCACTAACGGGGGGCGTGGCCGAACTGCCGAGGAAAGCAGTCGCAGGAACCTAGAGCTCCGAGCACCAAACGTCGGAAAACCTGATTAATTAAACCAAATAACATTCCCAGACCCCCAAACAACGGCGGAGACCCCCCCCAAAGTAAAACAAAGCAAAATGGGGAAAAAAATTTAAAAACCGGGACCAGACAGGCCTACCTCTGGGCGGACGATTGGCGAAATGTGGAGGCAAGCACGAGGCACGACGGAGCCTACCATGGCGGCCCTCCACGGTGGCTGTTCTGATTTTTCGGATGATCTCTCTGGAGATGCTGAGGACAACTACCTGACAGCCCCAGCCATAACACAGAAGGCCAGGCCCCAAACAACAGGTACCGATGCTGAGTTGGTAACCACGGGGGTTATGAAAGTCCTTCTGGCAGATCTTCAAAATAATATTTTGAAGGACGTAACTGCCCTCAGGGGAGAACTGCAGGGCCTGACAGGCCGCATCAGCACGCTAGAGACAACATCACAAGGACACCAGCAGGATCTATCGTCCCTACAAAAGGCGGTAAAGGTCTTACAAAGGCAGAACCAGATACATGAACGCCGCTTTGCGGCTCAAGAGGATACCAGGAAAAAACTAAATCTACAGGTCAGAGGGCTCCCAGAAGAGATACCTGAGACCGACCTGCCGCAAGTTATACGGCGCATGATAGCGGCCATATTGCCACATGGACAGGCTAAAGCCTGTGGACCAATTTCGGATCCCTAAACCCCCCAGAGCACCACCCTTGGCCACAAGAGACACTATAATCACTTTCCGAAATGGGAAAGAGAAAGTGACGATTCTCACGGCCCTCCGAGGCAAAACCCCCATGCAGTTCGAAAACAGGGGACTGACCTTCTTTGCTGACCTGTTTGGTGACACCCTGGCCTGGCGCAGATCGCTCCGGCCGCTCACCTCTTTGCTCCAATGGCAAGAAATCAGCTACCGATGGCGGAACCCCAGGACCCTCAGTGTTCAGCAAGGAACGGTCGCTCATCTGATCCACGACATCCAAGAAGCCCCTGACCTCCTGCGGACTCTGGGCATTCCACAGACCTCGCTCACTCAGGAAGGACTCCTTCACCTGACCACCCCAGCGCAGATTTGGGACCCGGCAAAAATTAACCCGTTTACCCCAAGAGGCTCGACCCCTGAATTGTCACCACCTAATGCGCACAGCACCCCAGGGACTACATAATCTTTGGACGCTGAATGAGTGTCACTCCAGTAGACACCTCTGAGACGCTCGTAAGATCCCCCTAAGACAATTTAACCTAACCTCCCGCACTATATAGTAAAATACGCATGTGTTGTATGTGCAATAATTAAGATACACGACTGATTTACCAATATATGATGCGGTAGGGACGCCCCGCAAAGCTGTCCATTACCGATAGATACTTCATTCATGTTAATGAATAGGCTCTCTCACTTAGCATATACACACGCGAGCTGATGAATAGGAGGTTATACCAAACATACAGATATAGCACTTTTAATATGTCAAGCTATGTGCAAAGCCATTATATTACTGTTTATTAGATAGGAGCAGGAATTAAGCTACGTTTACCCACTGTTTATATTTCCTCTCAAAAAGCTAAAAAAATCAGCGACTGTTATATGCAAACATTTAAGAAAAGAACAGCCAAGGTTTAAGCAGATATAATACCTTTAGTGTGTCAAGCTAGGTGCAAAACCATTAAAATACTGTTTGTTAGATAGAAACAGGACTTAAGCCACGATTACCTATTATTTATTAAAGGGTGCTTTATAGGCAGTGCAGTGAGCTAGACCTATAACGTGTGCCACTAGCTGACACTCTGTTGCTAATCAACTAACCATACATAAAACTGTGTCAATAACTGTTTTTTCTTTATGCTAGTTATGTTAGCTAAATCTCACTCTGTTGAAATAACTGTTTAGTTAAGCACGCAAACTATATAAAAAAAAAAAGTGAATTATCATGCCACTGTCTAATCTATGTGAATCCTGAGATACGCTGTTGTGGCGCCTGTTGATATGTCTGTAACCTCCCGCACAACAAAAATAAAGATATTAAAAAAATAAATAAAAAAAAGGCCCCACTAACATCCATGCACCGGAGGTATGGCCAAGGCAGATATTATATTACTTCCTTCTAGCTATTCATACCAGCATGGGCACAATTATCGGATCAACGCAGGTATCTGACACTCAATCACAGCTCAGGCTAATCCTTATTACCACAGTCAGCTCAAAAGGAAAGGTTGCCGAGGCATCTCATTTAGCATTTAAAAAAAAAAAAAAAAAAAAAGTTTTATGTTGAATGTAAGGATTGTGCCAGTGGGCTCCAGACATTGTGACCACTTTAAGATTGAAACTTAAAATTCCTATAGTCTCTTAAGAGCATTATGCATAGCACAACAGCAGGTGGACCTCAGTCAGCTGATGTATTGATTATGCAAACCTACACTTCCACATTAGCAATACAAACTTTGGCTACATGATATTCATAATAGGCAAAGCTAACTGACTCAGCTCCCAGTTCCATATCAGTTTGAGATAGGTTTGACATGTTATTAGTGGGACCTTGAAAGAAAAAAAAAAAAAAAATGCATATAAAGTGAATGCTGAAGTGTCTGGCTTTAAAATCATAAACTCCTTACATCAGAAGATAACTGAAGAAAAAAGATACTTCATTCAAGACTTTGTAGGGCCATTCGTTGACTTACGTTTTATTAGTTCGGTAGATGAAACTACCAAACACCAACCCCCCCCCGGCTCATTATCTACAAAGGAAACCATCTTGTTTGCACGAAAGAAGGCAGCAGGACTTGGTCGTCGAGTGTCTGGAACTAAAATCAGACACAACTTCCCAAACACCGGTAAAAACATACGAATGCTTGCTTCCTTTTCATGAACAGCTAGGAGAGCGCAGTTCGGTAGTTTAGTTCCAACGAACAAGGGAAACAAATCGCTCCTATGAGCCAGGGGGCTCCGTTTGTGCTTTCATTCATTTTACTTTATCGAAATAGGTCGAACGCACAGCCTAAACTCATGGAACTGTTGTGGGCAGGAGCCTCGTATGCGGTCAGTAAAATGGGACTTCCATACAATTCAAAAACCCCTGAAGTGATCTGGGTGATTTTTGAATATGTTGGTCACCCAGATCATGGCTATCAGGGGATACCATGTGTTTTAGGGTACTTTCAAAGTTTTGGGGAAAATGTTTTTCTGCCTGGAGATAGTTGGGTTATCCTTTAGCTTACCTAATTATCTCACAGGCAGAAAGGAGGGGATTGTATGTTTACAGTGGGAGTGTTTCACTTTGTCAGTGTAATGTGATTGATTGTAACTTTTGAGTCCTGGTGCCCAACAAGGTCCAGGTGGGAGGTCTCCTTGCATGGGGACTTGCATAAATAAACCATTATTCCTGTTGTACCCTTCATGAAGTCTAGGCTCATGTTTGGAAGCTGCATTAGTCTAGAACTACTCGTATCTATACCCGAACTGCAGCTATAATCACTAATGCTCAGCAGTTCGATAGGAATAGGCGAACAAGGTACTATAACTACCAGCGTTAGTAACCATAACCTTCGATACTTTTTAGTTAGCTCTGTAAAAATGACTTTGCTCATTTCTCCCCAGCCCACCAGGACTTCTCCAATGGCACAAGAAAGATCCAAATCTGTTACAAAACCATTCCCCTCTTTCCACACAACGCACACCTGTAGGGAAGAGGCTACTGTGAGAGGATGTGCATTATGAGGTCACAGATTACGGTCATTGGGCTTTTTTTTGATTGGATGTGCAATTTGATTGAGGATTTCAAAATAAAGAGTGAAGACTATACAGGCTTTTTTTTTTTTTTTTTAATTCATCCATTCACAGGTTGTGTTAGATACAAAGAGCAAGAATGATACAATACAATATACAGGAAAAATATGGTCAGTGAGTGTGGTTACTCCTTTTAACCAAATGATAATTTAGACGAATATCAACCAATTCACAATATGTGGTAGCATTGCTATTCAAATGTAAGTGAAAAAGAAATACAAAAGAGATGGGGAAGAAAAAAAAAAAAAAAAAATCTAAGATCCTTGTGCTTCCAACTCGGAAGGTGCTACGTCCGGCTCTTCATCATTGTAAATATTCTCAGCCTGAAAACAAGACACATAGCTGTAATTAAGGTCCAGATGGGAGTTCTCTGATAGACAATACAATAGCATGATTTACGCACACCAACCCACTACCATATTAAAAAAAAAAAAAAAAAAACCTCACTACTGTGCACGTGACAAGTTTTCAATTTAAGTACCAGGTCTGTAAAGCTGATATGCCATGAGAGTAACCTACCATAATTTTCTCAGTCCAGAGCATTTTGGTGGGTTTAGTGTAAACAAGAATTGTGTTAGCAAGTCTATAGAACAGTTCAATTAACCAGTGCTTATGGTTAATGAATAGTGCACTGTGGAACATTGTAAATATGCAGACCACATCAGAATGTCTGTATACAGACGCACACGAGTTACAGCTGGCAATTTATGGATTCATTTTTGCATGTTAGATTTTAATAATTTAGAGCAGCCACTAATACACACTGCAACATTTCAGAACAAATAGTACTTACCATTTGCCAAATCTGCATAATATTGTCTTCAGAAACAGAGCAAATAACCCATGGTTCATTTGGGTTCCAGCTGAAATCAGAGATCTTCGCTGTGTGACCACCATGGATGAACTGAAGAAGAGAAAAAAAATATTAAAAAAAAGTTGTAATCGTCACTAGACCCAAACCTTTTAAGCATTTGCCATTGCACTGGACATAAAAACACAAAGTAACCCAAGTAAGTATTCCATTATGTTTTGCTATCTGAGTCTGACTCATGCTTGAGGAAAAGCCTGTGCCTTCTACCACTGGACTAAAATCCGATAATTTACAGACACATTTTTTTTACATGACAGGCAGACACTCAGGAGCTCATGGTGGTGTTGCTCCTTATAAAACTAGGGAGGTGTAGACTGCATTTTGTTTACTAACCTTTTCAAATGCTACCTGCCCTGTGAGAGGAAGGGACACTACAAATTTGTAATGACTGCCACTTTGATGTATGGAAAAACTTTTTGAAAAATATATATTTTAATACCCGTCTTGCAAAGCTTGTAATCGTGTGAGTGTGTGTGGAAGACCAACAATCCTTTCAAGCCTTGTACAAATAACTAAAGTGTCAAACTAATGCAGTACATGAGATATTTTATGTCATTTTACATACACATTTATTCATGTTAGACCATTTTTGAACGTACTAAAAGCTCAGGAGGTCCATCCTCTGCATCTTCTGCAGACTGTTCTTCACCAATTTTGCTAAAACAGAAAATACATACATTTGATACATCACGAAGCAAGCAACAATTTTGCTGCAGCGATTTGAAATGATACTCAGACTAAAGTGGTTACGTTTAAGAAAAGTGCCAATGAAACCAAAGAGGGATTATTACAGCCAGTTTTAGAATGCTTTACTAGTAGATTTAAATTAAATTAGTCCAAATAGATCCCCAGATGCTGTAGAACTACTACAGGCACAATTAAAATCTTTAGACTAGCAGACTCATGAACATCTGGAGACCGTTTATACCCCCATGATTTATACATTACACCCCCTCACACAACGCAATAACAAGCTACCCAACAGTTATTGCACATTAAGTGTTCTGGAGAGAAAAAAATAAAAAAACACAACAGGGAACCGATGCTCATAGTAATAATTATGTAGGTTTGCATAAAGAGACAAAAACAATACATTTAACAAATTTGTCAAGAGCATTAACCACCCACCTATGAATTAAATAAAAGCTCACCTCAAATCCCAAACATTGAGTCTGCGATCAGTGCCACTAGAAGCCAGAATAGTTTCATTGTGAGGAGACCAATGAACCTTTTGGGAAGAGAAAGATGCAATAGGAACCTTGAACATTTAAAGTCGTAAAATGTGATAGCAAAATTAAAGGTAATGTGCAGTAATTAGAAAGTTATACCCACCTGAAAAATCTCATCTTTATGGGATTCAAAAGAATGAAGTTTCAATTTTAAATTTCTGAGATCCCACAGTGCTACCGTCTAGAAGGAAAATAAGCACAGCAATTGGCAAGTAAACCAAGCAACTTTTCCAGACATACAAAAACAGCACAAGACTAGCCACTATAATGAAAGCCCTTTAATGTTGGCAATGATGAACTATTTAAGTTTAGGCAAAAAGCAGATTGAGTCAAACTAGAGTTTTAATAACTGAAAATCCTAAGGTAATTCAATGTAATCTATGAATGGACAACTAAATTGGAACCCTAAAGAAGGAGGGGGAAGTCTTACATGCATGCATGTTTTATGCCCGATAATGGTTTTAGATATTTATCAGATATATGATAAGCATTGTGAGTATATACATAAAAGCACTATCACTTTAGTTATGACAACTGAGTTTTCCCCCACATTTTTCATGATATATTTTCAGATGCTCTTACAACAGACTAAATACACTAATTAATTTAGCACCAACGTGGTTTAATTTGATTACATGTTAAAATTAGTGTAAGACCCACAGATATTGGGATACTGTGGCATAATGGTGGGCTTAACATGATACGGCTATATGATGGAACTAAAAACCCATATTTTTGCTGAAATTTGTGATTTTAAGTAGCCTTGTAAAATTTTATACAGGATTTGTGTGCGCTCTTCCTTAAACGATTATTAGTATAAATTTTGGTACTGATGGCAGCACCACTGCTGAGAAATGTATGTTCCGGGGGTGCCCCTAATTCCCTCTTTTTGCTTTAAAAATGTCTGGTAGCATATTGTAGTTTTATATAAATGCAAGTCATTCAAATAGAAATGTTCCAAATGCTTTTGGACTGGCACCTGTCCCAATAAAATTCAGTATTTTTTGAATTACAGTATAATGCATGCTACAACTACAAGCAAAGTTTTAAATTCAATTGAGTGACAGAAAGGAATACGCAAGTCTACAGTTAAGGTACAATTCTTTTAAACAATGTTCCTGTAAATTGGTGAATTGAAAATGTAAAATCAGACCTTATCAGCAGAGCCAGTTGCCAGAATGAATTCGCTGTACGGGTTGAAAGATAAACAGTTAACCTCAGCAGTATGTGCATCGACAGAATGGCTTGGCTTTGATGTAGTATTTGACCTGGTGTCCCATCTATGAAGATATGGCAAGACAGAAGATGGAAAAAATTTAAATCCATATTTTGAAACCAGTTTACAAGACTCAAAATGCTTAAGATTTTTTTTTGTAGTTGTCAAAGATTAGAATATTTCAATAGCCAGTTACAGTGATTTCAGATCCCACTATTGAAATTATGGACTAAAAAAGAACTTACATCATTAGCTTCTGATCATCAGCCACAGAACCAAATAAGGATTCATGCAAAAGGTGCCACGCCACATCCTCAACGACTGCTGAATGGCCAGTAAATATGGCTTTTGCATCAATTACTTTGCCTTCTTTTGGCCCAGCACTTATATCCCATAAACAAACAGTCTGCAGGGATGAAAAAGACATGATAAAAATCAGTGCATCGTACCAATGAAGTGGAACAAAAGGCAGATTAAATGTATCATCCCTTCATTACTAATCTAAATTGAAAGGTATGGTCAAAGTAAACATCTTAAAGGATCACTATAGGGTCAGGAACACAAACATGTATTCCTGACCATATAGTGTGAACATCACCATCTAGCCCCCCTGGGCCCCTCATGCCTCCATAAATATAGCGCAAAATCTTATTGTATTCAAGCTTGAAGCTGTAACTCTGCATGCTGTTAGACTCAGAAAAACAAAGTCTGCTGACATCATTAGAAGTGGTGGCCTTGTCCAATCACAGTGCTTCCCCATAGGATTGGCAAAGAGGCAGAGCCAGCATGATTAAAACACAGCCCTGGCCAATCAGCATCTCCTCATAGAGATGAATTGAATCAATGAATCTCTATGAGGAAAGTTCAGTATCTGCAGTCACAGCTTGGGAGGGTGTGGCTTGGGTTGCATTAACAAAGTGATTTAACTTCTAAACAGCTATGACACTGCAGGTACAGAAGAGCAGAGTTGTTAATCTAAACTATGTTTTGGTGCCCATAGTATCCCACATAAGCGTCTTCATTTAGACAAAGTAAGAAAATGTGCAAACACTGCTTTAACTAATTCAAACAATAGAAACAAAATCACTTGGGAAAAAGACAACTGCTACATTCTGCAACTTATATAAAGCTTTTTATGGAAACAAGCTTCAGCGTAATTATCTTAGCGGAGAAAACTGCTTACATGATCATCTGATGCACTGAGCAAATGTCCACTCAGGTTTGAATTCCATGACAGACCATAGCCTTCTTTCTGGTGACCTCTTAATCGAAGATCAGGGTTACATTCGCCACTTGGGTCTTAAAAAAAAAAAAAAAAAAGGATAAAATAAGCATATGAGAAAAAGAAATTCTAGGTCTTTGGAATGATTATAAAGGATTCTTTCAAAGATATAGCTGTATCAATACAAAGTAAATAAATAGAAGTGTAGTTGCTCCCCAAAGTTCTATAGAATTCTGGTCTCTGTACAGCTTTTCAATGTTCAAATAATCTCACAAAGCAGACGGATTAAGTTAGCCTCCATTAGTCAATCCAAAACGCACAGGCACACAAACACAAAATACAGAATATGCAACTCTCTTGAATGGATTTTGATTTTTGCCCACTTTCCTGTCTGACATACAGACATAACTGAAATAGGTCCACCTTTTTATGGTTTTCTGAAATAGCAAGGAACTGAAATAATCGCCACCTATTGAAATACTTTAAATCTGTAACCAATAAGCAGGTATGTCTTCTGTATGCACTAGAAGTATTTAGATAAGGTGGAGGAGTGGGCAATCTAGTTTCAGCAGTGTACTCACCTGGCTTTGACGGATGCTTGGTATAGTCAAACACCAGCACATCAGATGATGGTGTTTTTGTTGCAATGATACATGGGTTCTGTGGCATATATCGTGCACGGTTCACTTCACCCTCATGATTTATCTTTATTTCGGTTTCAATTTTGCCACTAACTGAACCAAAGCCGCCAAATTCTGAAAGGATAAGCACAAAACAATCCATTATGTTGGGTGTAAATACAATATATGCTACTCCTAGAACACAAATATTACCAAATACGTTTAAGAAGATTGTGTTCATAGGCTTGTCATGAATGCTGAATTGTTTTATAAACACATACATAATAAAAAGTGACAGTGCCGCTTTAAAGAGAGACGGTCACGGTCACTTCACTGGAATTTACAAGATTGAAAGGTGGAAATCACCTATAACTTTTATTTAAAAAAAGTCAATCCAAACCTTATGAATTTTTTTTTTTTTTTTAAATGAATAATGCCCTAATGGGCATTCTTCTGTAGGTCTCACCACACTTGATCGCTTTAAGAACTGCCTTTAAATAATCGTAACTTGGCTTCACCTGGTGTTTCTTTCAACACTACCATCTGAAGTCAAGGCAGCCATTGTCCAATCAAAGACTTCTGATTGAGAAGCTTTTAATTTGACTACTTAGCTGGCAAGAGGAGGGAAGACAAGACTGAAGGGGAGAATCACATTATGTCTTGTGTAAAATATGCTTTCTGGGCTGCAACTTGCCCTTGGCACAAAAGTGGCAATTGCTCTGGATGTTCAGTGTTTTAATCTGAAACACTGTACATCCTGATTCCTACCACCATGATCACTTCATAAAGCATAAGTGGCCACGGTGGTTGGAATAACCCTTTACCCTTTTTTCATGAGATGATCCGATTTATAAAAAATAAATAAATAAATAAATATATATATATAAAAAAAAATAAAAAATTGACAAATTACATCATAATACAGTTCCAATGAATAAGAGCTTGCATTAGAACCGCAAGGTTATTTTCACTTAAAATTTTGTATTAAATAAAAAGTGTATTGTTTGCAGTGCTGAAACTCCAGCAGCTTTAAGTTTTCTCTTCTTTAAATAAAAGCTTAGTCTTTTATACACAGTCCTGGGTGCCTACAGGATTTTGTATTTTATACTACCATGTTACACAGACACAAGGTGTGATGTCTGTGCTACTACTACCTCCAAATAAAGTGAGCATGCTGGGTTACTTAGGGCTCATCAAAATTCAGTTCAAATAAATTTTAACCAGGGCATGCATTGAAAGTAAAGAGAAATATAACTATTGGTTCATTTATCCTCTTTGGTGTATACTTTCTCTATGCAGGCTGCCTACATTACTCATATGTAGACAACTCAGCAAGCGTTGTGCAAAAGTTGTAACTTCAAAGCATACTCAGAAGAGACAAAAAAAAAATGTAAAAACACCACTAGGGATTATTATGGACAGAAATGTCCATGTCCTTCATACAACCAATGCAGAAGTGTAATGGTTGTATGTGTTAAATACAGGTCAGTCAGATAAACTGTTTGAAAAGGCTGAATTCTAAACGTCAAACATATTGCATATACAGGATAAACATTGTGTATGCATGCTACCTTTATTATGTGGCACAGATTAGATTGATGAACTAAATGTTCTCCTCTTGGACTCCATTAAAGACCAGGATTAGAGTAGAAACAAGACCTTTCAAGTTGTAGATATTTTAAACCTGGAATCCTGTTGCAGAAGACAGTTTGCCACTGAAGATGGTATAAGAAAACCATCTAACTAAGGAATGCAGCTCTGTATGGTAGTATATTCACAAAGAACACTGAAAAAGGTACTGTAAAGACATTTACCTCCTTTTTCACTGTCATAATGAGAGGCATCAAATTGTGCATCATCATTAGGGATTTGGACTCTTGCTACCACAAGGTGATTCTGTTCATCTGATGTATGAGTGCCAAGCACTAGCCAATGCAAAGCATAGTCCTTTCCTTCTGGTCTGTAAAGGAAAATAGATAAACTCAATAGACTACAAAAGCAAAATGACAAAAAAAAAAAAAAAATTGAATTACCCACAAGGTCATTACATTATGGCCCATTTAAAACTATCTTGCTGAAAACATTGCTGTTTTGCAGTTGATGCAAATAGTTTGACTTGAAGGCTTACGGATCCCAGTTGAATGCAGTAAACAAATAATAAAAAATAAAAAAAAATCCGGTTTAGTCGTGCAAGCAGAAATACTAGTGTTGGCAATTCAAAGCCTCTTCCACCTCCCTCCCCAGGAAATTAAGTGATGCAATGCTTTCCTATGGGGTTTTGAGAGACGTAGGACATACTCATGCATGACATCAAGCATTGTTTCATGGAGCTACACAGTGTAAATGTAGAAAGTGCCTCTAGTAGCGGTCTGGAATATAAACATTGCAGGGCTACGGTCTGGAAGCCTAAAGTGTCCCCTTAAGAACTATATATCTGTAGCAAGAAAAGTAGACTAAAATAATTACCTAGTCACATCTGGCAGCCATTGCACTGTAAGACTTGGCCATTCTAGGGCATGTGTCATTACAAGGTCATACAGGAATGGAGTATTCTTTTTCCAAATTTTGTACTCTTCATTGATGACACGCTCCTCCACAGTATCTTCAAACACTAGAAAAATAAATAAAAAGCATCAAGGTGACTGCATATTCCAGCAAAGAAAAACAAACCTTATTTTTTCACATGTGCTCTTTAAAACATACAACTTAAATGGTTACTCCAATTACACTGAGCCCTTCTGCTTTTAGAAGGGGTTGTGGTGGTAGGAGTCTGAATGTGCAGAGTTTTATTCAGAGATATTTGCACTTTTGTGCCAGGGGCTAGTTACATACTCAGCATACGTGGCTATGGCAGCCTGGAACTCTGTTCCAGACTGCCAAGTCTATGAAAAAAAAAAAAAATACACACATATACGTCCATCGTCAGCTAGCACTGGACATAATTAGCTTCTACTGTGCAGACATTGTTCACAAGGGGAAGTGTTGGTCTCAATTCCATTATTCCTTCACTGAAGCCTCCCTATAACCTCTGTTACATTATCGATGCCCTCCACTTAACGTCTCAGAGCATGTGCATGCATTCTCAGCCAGTTAAATAGTTCAAAGGATTCTCTATGAAAAGCCTTTGATTGGACTATGTGACAGATGCAGTGATGTCAGACTGGGAGTGCAAAGTCACACTGGGACCTTCACCAGGATTTCAGGTAAGCTATTGATTTATCTTATTCGTTATTTTAGCAATATGTACAAAAATCAAGAAGAGTTGGAGTAACCCTTTAACATTATGCATTTAATTAAAGGTAATTGTGTTCAATATATTAGTTTATGTCAGAGCGTATCGCAACACGACACGTGTATTCCAATGCAAATTGGACACTACACCTATATTTTCCAAATAACTGATGTGTTCGCACATTAGATTAGGGGTACCTATTTGATGATCATAGCAAAACGCAACACTATTTCATCCAGAGAACAGAATAAAAACAAGTACAAAAATACTACTAATGGAACATATAGGGGAAAAAAAAGTAATGTTTGCAGTGCTCGCTAGTAATAAAAATAAAAGTAGACTGTTCAATATACAATTTATTTGTAATACTATATAAGTTGCATGTTTGTAAACAAAAGAAAAGTAGGTACTTTCTGTCAAAAAGAAAATAGTGTCGAGTTTGAGCATACAGGTGGGAACTTTTCTGCAAAATGCATTGCAGTTGTAGGGATTTAATATCCATGAATAAAATAATTACTTTCAACAAAGTGATTTGGAGACATGTCCGTGCATCACTGCAAATGAAAATCACTTTACATTTTAAAGCCAATACGCTTACTTGCGGCTGGCAGCTACTCTGGCCTGAAAAGGATTTAATAATTGCACCTATTTTACATTCGTCAAACGCAGTGGATCCAATGCTTTTCAGAGAAGCACTTGAATGGTAGATTGCGGCAAATATGCTGTGAGTTTTCAAAGCAACTCAATGAGAAGCATTTGATTAGAGACAGACCAGCAAGCCTGATTCTCTCAGTGTGGGAAGATCAGGAAACAGTTAACCCCTTAAGGACACATGACATGTGTGACATGTCATGATTCCCTTTTATTACAGAAGTTTGGACCTTAAGGAGTTAAGAGTGTTTCTGAACAGGATTACTAGCAAGTTTGCTTTTTTAAATGTAAAAAAAAAAAAAAAAAAAAAGCTAGATTGCCCCCTTTAGACTAGAGCAGCCTTTCCCAATTGGTGTTCCACGAGAACACAAATGGGTTACTCCAAAATTTTGTAAAACAAAATAGCCGCAGGCGGCGAGGGAACACTCTCCCAGGCTCAGCTCCCTCACATGCACAGCAGTGATGCCGGAGCCAGAATATGACTAACTCTGGCATCACTAAGAGGCACACAACGGAGCTGAGCAGGAAGATCACTGCGCCCTCGCTGCCCCACTAGACCACAGGGACATAGAGACTCCATGCCAGCACTCCCAATGGTAAGGAGGATGGGTAGAGTAAAAATTTTTAAAATAATAACTTGCATGTGTGTCTGTTTGGGAGTTTGTATGCGTTTGTGTGTCTGTCAAAGAGTGTATGTGTGCTTGTCAGTGCGTATGTATGTCAAAGAGTATGTGTATGTATTTCAGTATGTTCCAGTGTATATCAGTGTTTGTATATGTCAGTGTGTGTGTATTTATTTGTAAGTCAAGATGTGTGTATGTCACTATGTGTATCTGTGTGTCAGGTACACACTGGCACATACATACACACACTGTATCAAGGTGTGTGTATCTGTGTGTCAGATACATACACAGGCACATACAAAAAAAAAAAGGCACAGTTTCCACAATGTTGACACTATGTCAAAGGGCACTACTTTGCAGAACTAGTTCCTTCGGCTGAGTGAGATCTCAATCAAGGAGCATGTGCCTTAGCTCAGTGTAGGAGCTTCATGAGACAGAGTCGACGCCAAGCTGCCCACAGGTAAGTTGTCAAACTATTGTGTTTAACTACTTGCCCTGGAAGGGAGACAGGGCACTGCTGGTACCATAACCACTACAGCAGGCGTAGTAGTTAGAGTGCTTAGAGTGTTTTTTTAACGAACTAGTGGCTAAAAGTCACCGGGCCATCTTCAAAGAATGCATAAATTCAATGTTTGATGCTCTTACTGTCCTAAGCATTCAGACAGCAGCCATGGACAGAAAAAAAACTGTTACACTAGGCAATATTAACAACTAAGACTCTGGTAAAATATCTCTCTACACACACACACACAGTCACACCTTATTCCTCCCAATCCATCACCCAGATAGTATCAGTTAGTGAGGATAGTGGATCCCATGCGAGCACCATGCCTGTAAAATAAAAGTGCGGGAGAGGTGCTGCTGGGAGTGCATGCGGCATACAGCATGGGAGGCGGGCACGCCGGGTCCTGAGTGCGGGAGCGCGCCACATTGCTCCCCCCCCCCTCCTCCTCCTCCCGCCACATTGCTCCCCCATACAATGCCGGGCAGGCCGTGCAGCTTACTCTCTTTATTCGCCATGTTCTCGCCGTCTGCCCCGGCCAGGGAGGACGCAGTATCCGCTCGGCGGTGACTCAGGACGCCGTTTGCCGATGCCCGCCGCAGCTTCCCGCGCTGGAGCAGAATGGAGAGAGCGAAGAAAGCCGTGTGGTGACGCAGCCGGAGGATCCCCCGCCAAACTTACACAGACACTTCCAACACACGCACGCTGCCGCCCTCACGTACAGCGTGCTCAATGGGTACAGACTCACTGGCCAATCAGCGACCAGCATCGGGCGCACGCTGCTGCCTTCATAGAACGCTGGCGACAGAGGGCTGGTAGCTCGGCGGCCATCTTTGAGTCTGGCAATGGGGGGGGAAACGGTTTTGTCAGCCTCGCCGCTAACAATCTACCATTTGTACCTGGTGGCCTCCTCTTTGCCTTTTGTTAAAAAAAGCAAAACATTTATAGCGGGTTTTAATTAGGCCTGAGTCCTTTTGTTGGCATTTTGTGCCTTCTGGAACCTGTCATACAGGGAGGGACATAGCCACAGTAGGCTTTAACAGGTCAATAACTTATTTGTTTGTACTTACATTTTGTTGTTGTTGTTGTTGCAGGTACATTTTATAACTGAGGCTTGGGACATTCATCGTGTGTAATTTTACAAACTAACAACAAGTACAAATAGTGGAATTTTATTTTCCAAACTGAAACCAATGTTTGGCAAGCAGGTAATTTAAGAAGTTCCCAGATTAATTGGCTGCCATGTTCGCCCCAACTTTCAGATCCCGATGAGCTCATTTAAAAGATGTCTTCTTGTGTACCTAGTCAAACAAATCTCCACACGTTAAGGACTCATTGCATGTAATGTAATTGAAATTGGTTTATTAATAATAAAAAAAAGTTATTGACTCCTCAAACCTTACTCTGAATTTTACCCCACCCTGTATATAGTTGGCTCTCTTTTTTTTTATTTTTTTTTTTATATCAGATAGGTATCATCTCATCAAATTTTATCGCTCTCCAGATTGGCATATATACCATTATCATCATTTATTTCTTCATTTTCCCCCATATTTCTCCCTCAAGTGAGATCTTCTTATTCATAATCCTTCATAATGTGCAATAGTATTTCTTCTAAATTAACCTATATGTCTACTTATATTTCACTACCTGTGATAAAATTCTATCCCTTCCCACCTCCCTCACTCCTGTGATCCCCCCCTACCCCTGTTACTCTGTTTGCTTACCATATATACTCAAGTATAAGTCTAGTTTTTCAGCACATTATTTGTGCTGAAAAACCCCCACTCGACTTATACTCGAGTCAGTGTCTGTATAATGGCAACTTACATTGCCATAATACAGACCAGGACCGTTGGGCTCATTACAAGCCCGGCGGTCCTGTTGGGGGCTGGCAGAGAGCTGTTACTTACCTTTCCTGCAGCTCCTGTCAGCTCCCTTCTCCTGTCAGCTCCCTTCTCCTGCGCTCCAGTCAGCTCCCTTCTCCTGTGCTCCGGTCAGCTCCCTTCTCCTGCGCTCCAGTCAGCTCCCTTCTCCTGTGCTCCGGTCAGCTCCCTTCTCCTCCACTGTAAGTCTCGCGGTGTGACTGCCGTGCGGAGCGTGGCAACGCTCTGACCCCACGGCTCTCGCAAGACTTACAGTGGAGCTGACTGGACCGGAGGAGAAGGGAGCTGACAGGAGCTGCAGGAAAGGTAAGTAACAGCTCTCTGCAAGCCCCACTCTTACACAGCCCATCCACTGGACCACCAGGGAATGTGAGCACCCCTCTCTGGCCAGCTAACAAGCAGAGAGGGGGGACGAAAATTAAAATAAAATTTTTTTAAAAAAATTACAATACATTTTTTTAAATATTAAAAAAATGTGTGTGGGTGTGTGTGTGTGTGTATAGTGCAGAGTGTGTGTGTATAATGCAGAGTGTGTGTATGAGTGTGTGTGTGTATAATGCAGAGTGTGTGTTTGTATGAGTGTGTGTATATAATACAGTGTGTGTGTTTGTATGAGTGTGTGTGTATATAATTATAAAAATCACAGAACTTCATAGCCCCAAGTTTTACCCCCGACTTATCCACGAGGCATAGCATATTTCACAATTGTTGGTCACAAAACTGCACTCGACTTATACATGAGATCGACTTATACACGAGTATATACGGTATTTATTTCAGAGAGAGAGACAATATGCTTATCCTTTATATTTGTATTTAGAAGCAAATAAACCAGCTAGAGAAGAGAAGAACGAAGAAGAAAGGATAGATGGACAACTATAAAAGGAGGCCTGATATAGACTTATTGTCATATTCCCCCTCTTCCTCCCCTCTCCCACCGTTTACATTTATATAGGTATCCATATATGATTGCCTGGCGTTTTTATGAGTTATATTTTGGACCCCCACTGGACTAGTTTTTTCCCGCCTCTTACTTGTTTTTAAACTACACCGAACAAAATTATAAACGCAACACTTTTGTTTTTGTCCCCATGTACAGAAAATGCCTATTTCTCTCAAATATTGTTCACAAATCTGTCTAAATCTGTGTTAGTGAGCACGTCTCTTTTGCCGAGATAATCCATCCACCTCACAGGTGTGGCATATCAAGATGCTGATTAGACAGCGTGATTATTGCACAGGTGTGCCTTAGGCTGGACACAATAAAAGGCAATGAATGTTCATTTCTCTACTATAAGTCATCTCCAAAAGCATTTCAAAGAATTTGGCAGTGCATCCAACTGGCCTCACAACCAGCCCAGGACCTGCACATCCAGCATTTTCACCTCCAAGATTGTCTGAGACCAACCAACTGGACAGCTGCTGCAACAATCAGTTTGCATAACCAAAGAATTTCTGCACAAACTGTCAGAAATCGTCTCAGGGATACTCATCTGCACGCACGTCGTCCTCCTTTGGAGAGGTGTTCTCTTCACGGACGAATCCCGGTTTTCACTGTACAGGGCAGATGGCAGACAGCGTTTATGGCGTTGTGTGGGTAAGTGATTTGCTGATGTCAACATTGTGGATCGAGTGAGGATTATGGTATGGGCAGGTGTATGTTATGGACAACGAACACAGGTGCATTTTATTGATGGCATTTTGAATGCACAGAGATACCATGACGAGATCCTGAGGCCCATTGTTGTGCCATTCATCCACGACCATCACCTCATTTTGCAACATGATAATGCATGGCCCCATGTTGCAAGGATCTGTACACAATTCCTGGAAGCAGAAAACATCCCTGTTCTTGCATGGCCAGCCTACTCACCGGAAATGTCACCCTTTGAGCATGTTTGGGATGCTCTGGATAGGCGTATACAACAGCGTGTTCCAGGTCCTGCCAATATCCAGCAACTTCGCACAGCCATTAAAGAGGAGTGGACCAACATTCCACAGGCCGCAATCAACAACCTTATCAACTCTATAGGAAGGAGGTGTGTTGCACTGCGTGAGACAAATGGTGGTCACACCAAATACTGACTGGTTTTCCAATACAGTAAAACTGCACATTTTAGAGTGGCCTTTTATTGTCACCAGCCTAATTCACACCTTTGCAATAACCATGCTGTCTAATCAGAATCTTGATATGCCACACCTGTGAGGTGGATGGATTATCTTGGCAAAGAAAAAGTGCTCACTAACACAGATATAGACAGATTTGTGAACAATATTTGAGAGAAATAGGCCTTTTGTGTACATGGAAAAAGTCTTAGATCTTTGAGTTCAGCTCATGAAAAATGGGGGGGAAAAACTAAAGTTTTGTGTTTTAAATTTTGTTCAGTGTAGTACAAATAAAGAAAAAAATAACTCAAAATAGATTCACTTATTTGTCCTGGTTATTAAAATGCCTCACATGTCTATGATTTCTATATTTATTGTGTATTAATATAAGTTAGAGGACAAACATTGCTTGGAGTAAATTGAATTTTTACATCTAAGCATTTACAAAACAACTTGTCAAAAATATAAATTTGTACAAAGTATACGCTCCTAATGTATAGTGATAAGACTCTTTTGGCACAATTCTTTTAACCATTTTATCACCAAAATCTGCCAGACCTGTCGTGTTACATTATTTTTTGTGTGTGTTTTTCCCAAACCCCCCAACATCGGTGTCCCGCAACGTGGGGTGCCAGTGGTTAGGGTAAATGGAGGCAGTCAGAGACATCAGTCGCTTTACAGTCACCATCCAGAGGGGGCCTGACTGCCCAGAATTGCGTCTGCTCGAGGAATTATTAATTTGGTCTAGTGTGAATGCAAGTTAGGCTGCCTGCCAATCACAGTCTAGCCCACTTAGTGTCACGTCCTGCTCTGTTCTGTGAAGATGTCTGGCAATGGCTTCTGGTATCCAGTACTCTTTTTGCTTTCCTTGCTTGGTTTTTCTGGTCCATGTCTTGTCGTCACTTTCATCACCTGGAGCAAATTTTATAGGTGACTCTTCCAATTTTGAGTCTCCAGTATTAGATGACTCAGCCGTGTCTATTTGATCTGAGTCAAATTTGTAGGATGACTTGGGAAGAGGTGGAGAAATTGGAACCTCTGATTCCATAGAGTCAGTATTTGGGTTGACACTTACAGTATCGAATGCTTTGTCCTTTGTGGGACAGACTTCCAGATCAGATCCAGTCACCTGGTCAAGGTCACTGGTGGTCTCCTCAATTGTCACTGTGAGGGAGGAATTAGTATCTCGGGTTGCAGACTCAGGGGAGTCTATTTCTGCTTCGTGGCTGGGCAGACTTTGCTTGAGACACTCTCTGACCAGACTTGTACCCTCCTGAACAGTGTTGAGATCGTTCATCTTGGTAGTCAGTATTCTCAGTCTGGGAATAGGCGAGTGGATCTTGCAAAAAAGAGACGGTGGTATAAGGGTACTATGGGTCTCTGGTACCGAGACAACATTAGGAAACTGCGTACTGGTACTACCTTCACATTCAGACTGCTCGTCCTCCAAAGCTGCTATGCAACGAGCACCCAGTTCATCAAAGACCTGGTCCATGAGGGAATCACCAGTGCTATATAACCCTTCAACATCTTCGTCTTCAGTTTGGGCTGGAAAGTATTCAGCTTTAGATTCATGAGGAACTTCGGTTTTGCAGTCGGGAGGATCAACAAGCCATTTGTCCAAGTCAGAGTCAGGAGGATTAGGGATGCTGTGTAAATCAGGAAAGGGTATATAAACATCATTATCAGGCATAAAGACACTTATCCTTTCCTGTATAAGATCAATAAGAAATGTAATTTCGTGAATCAAGGCAATGTAATTGTTGTGCATAACTCTTAACTGTTTCTGCATAAATGATAAAGATTTGTTACGTGATGTTTCTTTAAGAGACACACAAATAAGTTCATTCACCCTATTTATCACAGGGGACTTTCTCAACCATTTTTTGCAATTAGGTAACTGAGAAAGCAAAGGGTCACATATTTGTTTGTGATAGGTCTGCAGTTCAGTGATAAGTCCACATAATACAGATTTCTGAACTTGGAAAGAAACAGTTATAGTAGACAAGCATAAGGTAGAGGCCTTTTCTATCTGCCGCTGGATATGTTTTAACTGATCATAACAAGTCTTAATGAGAGCATACTCTTGCTGTGAATCAGCGTTAATACCAACGATTTTATCCATCGTGATCCTGGACATTATTCTTTGCTGGTTCCAAAGGGCCAGATCATTACTTTTGTTTCCTGTTTCCCTGGTCTCCTGTGTTCCTGGCTCTTGGCTCCTGCTTACTGTGACTTGGTCCTGTGTTCTCCTGGTCTTCATCCTGTGTCCTCCTGATCCTGCGTTTCTGTGTTCTCCTGGTCCTTCATTGCTGTGTCCTCCGATCCAGTGCTCTGATTCCGTGGCCTCTGACTCACTACCAGCGATCCTGTCCCTGCAGCCTTGCTGATTTATTCGTTCTTGTTGTCACTACATTAGTCTTGTGACTTTGGATCTGTGCCCTACCTGATACCCGTGGTAGCTGCACAATCCTACCCTAATACCAAAGGACTATTACAGTATTTGTTGCCTGCACAGTTCGTGCTTATTTTGATTTACTGTATATATTTTTGGCATTGTCTTTGTATGTATGTGTATATATATTGTTTTGTTTTCTCCTTTGGTTTCCTGTAAATATATATATTTCTTGATTTATCCTATTCATTTGTGTCTTGGACTTTATTTCTTTGCCATATTGGTTCCCACATTTAAAGTGACAGTGCTGCTCCAGGGCAGCACCCCTTCATGTCATTACACTTAGAGCAAACCATGCAGGGAGCGCTGTTTCAGCACTCTCTGCATGGTGTTTGTGTCCTGAGTGTAGTGCAAGTGCATGTTGCATTACACTTTTTTGGGAGAGTTCCCTGGTGTCCCCAAAACCGGCACACCATAAAACGAAGGACAGCAGGAGAGGACCCTAAAATAAGGATTATTTTCCTGAAATTGTAATCATTGCGAGATCTGGAATACAGCTGTACCCTCCTATCTATATGTGACAAACGACGCATTCCACAGACGTTTGCCACAGACTCCTGGAGGAGTGTGGAAGCTGGCCTCCTCCCTACTGACTATGGGCCAGGTCAGCGATTGTAAAGATCCATGTTTTATTCCCCTTGGTTCGACACTTTCCATTTGTGTGCATAGAACGCTAGCTCCCTGGTAGCCATTCGCATGGACCAAAACCACTTAACCACGAATGCCCTGGAACTATTTTCGGCATGAAGACTTTGCGGTTCCCGGTCGGTCCCCAGCGGCACTTAGCTGCGATTCTATGGAACTATTTTGGGCATAGGACCATGCATGCGGTTGGTAAAATTAGGACTTCCAAGAAAATCCTGAACCCCTGAACTAATCTGGGTGATTTTTGGATATGTTGGTCACCCAGATCGGGGCTCACGATAATTGAGTTTTGTACAGTCCCTGACTCAATTATCTCCCAGGCACTGGCTAGGGATTATCTTGTTTTGTATGGGAGTGTCCTGGACCTGAGAGCCAATGTAATCGTGTGTATGTTTTTACTGTAGTCTACTTTCAGGTCCAGAGGGGAGTTCCCCTTGCATGGGGACCTGCATATAAGGCCAGTTGTGACTGCTAATAAACTTATTAACTTGTACTCCCAGAACTATGTGTCGTCTTGTTACTGGGATGGGAAAAGGCTAATTACTGTTCCAGCTTGTTCCAACGTGGAGGATTCAGCAGGGAAAGTCCTTGTAAGGACTAGAGCTTTCAGGACTGAGTGTCGTCCAGTGCCTGGGGGTGTCTAGAGCGAATTCCCCATTCGGCACCAGGAGGAACCAGTTCCAGGACCCCAGTCAAGCCATGGTGACTGTGGGCAGAAGTGCTGCGGTTTATCCCCTGTTCCAGCTAGGAAGTAGTCCTTGGCAGAGGTACCCAGTCGGGGTACAGGGAGCTCCGTTACAGTCACCTAGACAACAATAGGTGTTGCACAACATCTGGCACCTAGGTGTCTGTACCTGACCAGGTAATTTTATTAATGGTCAGACATCTTGGCTCCTAATTACATCATTATATAAAAATTGGGGTTCCATTCAGAAAGTTCTGATCAGAGCACCCATTCTGTCTAAAAAAAGTTATCAGATCGGAGGTGTCTAATTTAAATAATCTGTATTTTAAGTTTTGACTAGGCTGCGACCATCCTCCGATCACGAGCAGAGTTCCACAATGCTGGGTGGGAAGTCCCAGTCACCTAAAATGGTGGCGCTTTCCCTTTTGGTACATGGAGCTCCCCCAAGTCCGTGGTGTTGTTCGATGCCTCTATCATTGTAGCTATACTCCACCAAGTACTTTAAGGGGATGCAGGAACAAGTAATAACTCCAAAAGAATATCCAGCACAATCAGCAATACAATCCCATCACTTTCCCCAATCACTGGGCGACACACAGTATCAGGAGTAGAACTAACTTTTAATGGCAACATTCGTGCTTTTATGAGATTCTCCCATGCAAGGGAGGGATTCACCACAATTAGTGCATTATCAAATGCCAGCGATGTTACCTCCCACACATCTCCTCCCCTTAGATTAGCCTTTAATACAATTATACACAGCACATTTTCCCCCAATTTTCAGATGTACCACAAATAGGTGGAATATGCCCTGATCTGGGTGAGAAACATATCCAAAAATCACCCAGATCAGACCAGGGGTTCGGGAGTTATGGGAAGGTAAAGTTTTGACCGACCGCATGGGCAAAGTAGCCGAAAATAGTTCCATGAAATCTGGCCCTACGGTCGGTCTCCATTCGTGCCCCAAAAGTCCCGAATTGCTATAGCATCCATAGTGCATTCTGTAACCGGGTGAATCCCCTAGTTCGTGGGATTCATCCTACCGAATGCCGGGCCGTTTGTGGGTTTCCATCCGTGCCTTCTGAGGTCCTGGAGGTCTTAGCGGTGTTCGGCTAGTCGAGCACGGTCAAACTGCCGAATGAACAGTGATTCGGTTCCACTACCGAATGCAGAGGTAAGGAGTCTGGCGGCTCAGCGGTGTTCGCGCAATTAAGTGTCCGTTTTCAGTTCCATGGTTTGGGCGCTGAACACCGCTGGCCGTTCGGGAGCTAAAATGGCCGCTGCCACGTGTTCGTCAAATGAACAAAGGCCACCCAGCGTTCATCAATTAAGCTGCGGTTAACCGCAGCTTCTGGGCGGTCAATTGGCGGCACACTCCAGTACCCAGGTGGTCCGTCGTTCGTTACTTTGTTCGGTAGATTGAATAAACCTTTCAGCAGGGAAGATAACCGGTTTTAACTGCAGGGCCATAGTCTAAAGGGAGCAGGCGAGCAACCAGGCTTCTCCAGTGCACAGTGGCGAGGTTGGTTCTGCCACAATTACATTTTAAATCACCTTTTGTGTTCCAAATATTAATACATGAATATTCACGCCAAAACGTAATTTTAAGACATATATAAAAACATAACACAAAATAACACAAAACAAAAAAGGGTGTGCCTTAAAAAAAATAAAAATAATAATAGTCCTACCTAAACTAAATTTGCCCTCCTCTCTCTTTGCCTTCTCCTCACAGAAGAGGGCAACTATACACAAAAAATAAATAAATAAATAAAAAGGTGGGGGGGGGCAGGCTGACAAAAGTTGCACAGTAGGGAACGTAAAACACACAAGCCCAAAGCCTTATAACAATCTGGGACCAGGGGGGCTAACGAGCAAAATACTAGGTATCTACCACGCTCTTCACAAAGGGGACTTACAGCCACGATAATGGGTAGATGTATTGTGGGAAGGAGGCACAGAGGACGGCACAAGGGCCCAACATCGGACAGGGCAAAGTGTAAACGATCAGACAACGAATAGTCATCACAATCACGGCTCACGCAAGAAAAGTAATGCTCCACTCAGGTGCTCATAATCTGGGGGTGGGGGAGGGGATCGGGTGGGGTGGGGTGGGGAAGGAGAATAACAATAACTACGAGACGAATAGAATAACAGGTTATGATAAAAAGTTTTAGAAGTTCGGGTTACAAGTTGATTGTGTTTACGAAAATGGAAAAACACTGATGGACTGCAGCTTCAGTCAACAACGCAGAAAGTAGGGGCTTCCGAACAACAAATGTATACCTAACCAAACGATTATCTTTTTTCAGTATCACTGAAATACCAATGTACCTCTTGATGCTAGGCTTATGCACAAGCCCCAATAATGTTTACAAGCTGTAATGTCTGTCAATGCAAAAATAAAGAATTCAAAAAAAATTAAAAAATAATAATAGTCCAAATGACTTATCATAAATCCAGTATAGTGCAATCCACGCTCATAGGAAGGACTCTTGAAATACAGTAAAATGGAATCAGTCTTCACGAGTATGTACTTGAAATTCAGTGAAGCATATGAGGAAAGAAAACACAATGGTACAATATGTAGACAAAATGAGATAATAAAATAGTGGTAATCAGTACTACACACAATCTCCAAAGCTAAAATGCAGCTCTGGTATTGAATGTGTGAAGTGATGCTGGAGCCGGAATATAACTCCTGCTCTGGCATCACTAAGAGGCGCGCGAGGGAGCTGAACAGAATGATCCCTCGCCGCCTCCACTATGAACCTGTCTGCCCGCCCGACCACCTTCCTGCGTGCCTGCCAGCCCAGCCAGCAGCAGCCCTACTGAACTGCCACCAAAATGTCAGTAAATAAAAAAATAAAAATTGTGAGTGTGTTAGTGTGTGTGTTTGTTAGTGTGTCTGTAAATGAGAGTGTTAGTGTGTGTTTGATAATGAGAGTGTGTGTGTGTCTGTTAGTGAGAGTGTCTGTATCTGTTAGTGAGTGTGTTAGTGAGACTGTGTGTGTTAGTGTGTCTGTTGATTAGTGTGTTAGTGTGTGTGTCTGTTGATGAGTGTTAGTATGTCTGTTAGTGAGAATGTGTGTGTATCTGTCAGTGAATGCGTGTGTCAGTTAATGTGTCTGTCGGTGAATGTGAGTGAGTGTGTATGTTTCAGTGAAAGTGTGTGTTGGTTAAACAGTGTGTGTGACAATGACTTTGTATCTGTCAGTGAGTGTATGTCAGTGTATGCATCAGTGAAGGCGTGTGTCTGTTAGGCAATGAGTGTGTTGGTTTTTAACAGGAAGTGAAATTTAGAAAGGGGGTAGGGACCTGAGTTTTGTCATGCCTAGGGCAGCACAAAACCAGAATACCCCACCAATTACTATGGGGCCAGCCTCCTCCCTACAGACTATGGACCCTGTTACAGAAAACCATGAAGAGAACCAAAACGACTACACTATTTGGACAAAAGTATTGGGACACACCTCTTAATTATTAGATTCAAGTGTTTTTTAATCAGACCAATAGCCACAGGTGCATAAAATTAAGCACGTCACCATGCAGTCTGCATTTACAAGCATTTGTGAAAAAATGGATCATTCTGAACAACTCAGTGAATTCAAATGTGTTCCTGTGATTGGATTCTACCTTTGCAATAAATCAGATCTTGAAGTTTCATCCCTGCTAGATATTCCATGGTCAACTGTAAGGTGTATTCAGGGCCAGCCTTAGGCCTTTAGGCACCCTGTGCGAAAATTTTCCACAGTGCCCCCCCCCCCTTCCCGTCATCCATGCGTAGTGTGTGTGTATAGGAGTGTAGTGATTGTATAGGGGATTTATTAAATTAATAATGATTTCAAAACATGAATTCCTCCTTTTCTGTTGTTACCTGGTTGGGCATGCTGATCTGAATCTGGTCTGCCCCTCGCAAGTTCAGGGACTTGTGGTAATCTGCGGCAGCGCTCTGATTATCTCAAGCTAGGAAGACGGCTACTTATGGTATGCAGCCAACAGAAGTGCAGGCCAGAAGTGCCAGACTGCCTCCCCTACATTACAGAGGAGCAGACTAAGTATGTCACATAATACTGTGAGTGGTTTTGCTTTGGAGCTCTGGATTATACCTATTTGCCTGGACCTCTTTGGAATAAAAATTTGTAGTAATGAACTACTTCTCCATTTATCACAGAGCTCCACAACAATAAAACTCCCAGTAATATGGAGCTCTGGATAATGGTATGGGGCTGTTTTTCAAGGGTTGGGCTAGGCCTCTTACTTTCAGGGAAGGGAAGTCTTAATGCTTCAGCATACCAATACATTTTGGACAATGCTATGCTTCCAACTTTGTGTGGGAACAGTTTGGGGAAAGTCCTCTTCTATTGCAGCATGACTGTGCACAAAGACAAGGTTGGATGAGTTTGGTGTGGAAGAACTTGACTAGCTCACACAGAGCCCTGACTCCATCAAAAACGTTTTTGGATAAATGGTAATGGAGATTGCTAGCCAGGCCTTCTTCCAAAATCAAGGGCCTGACCTCACAAATGCCTTACTGGATGAATGCGCAAACATTCCCACAGAAACACTTCAAAAGCTTATGTAAAGTCTTCCCAGAAGAGTGGAAGCTGTCATAGCCGCTAAAGGGAGACCAAATACATATCAATCTCTATGTAATTACAATGCAATGTTATAAATGTTCCTGTTGGTGTAATGGTGAGGTGTCTCAATACTTTTGCCCATATGGTGTATTTTCACCATCCCTGAAATATTTTCCCCTACCCAGAGGATGAAGCTTACCTGTGGGCCCAGGATGCCAGCCACCTGGTTGCAGTAGCACCCTGGTAGAGACCAGGGAGAGATGTAAAATTTCAAGTCGGCTGCATGTAACTCTTCACTGGTTTGGAACTTAGTTACGGGCTATTGAACAATGTAAATGGAATTAAAGCACATTTTGAACAGTGAGTAGCTGAGGGGATGAACTGTAATAATTTTCATATCCCCCCTCCCTTCTTACCTTTGTTTGGGAGGGGGGGCATTACTAATCCCTGGTAGTCCTGTGGAAAAGCCTTGATGGTCCAAGTGGTGAGAGTGAACTCTAGCAGCTCTTGAGGCTAGAGTTCACTTTCTCAAGATTCTTAGCACTGCCATGGTAACCGCAGCAATGCTCTAGGCTTGCAAGAGCTGCTTGTTAGAGCTCCCCAGGATCATCTCTCCCTTCCCTACTGGCTGCAGCATTTCAGTGCTAGCAGGCCAGTGAGGGAGTTCTCTGATCTCCCCTCCTGCAGAGCTGGCAGGGGAGAGCGAGGCATGGCACGATTCCCGGTGCTATGATTATAGCACCTGGAAAAATTTTGTGTCGCCCCTGTGTGTAGTCGCAGCGCCCTGAACACAGTTTGGGAACTGCTGGATTAGAGAATTCTAAACCCTCACAAATAAAACAGAAACATACACATTTTAAATGATATATATTTTATTAAAGATTGTATTTTTCCCTATGGCAAATCAGTTTTTGTGATTTCTAAGTAGATTGTTTAGTACCAATTTTACTGCCAATTTAGTAAACTGAATTCTCTATCTCTATTGCAGTGTAGTTTTCAAATTACTATTTTTTTTAGAATAAATTACTACATTTCCTCTGATTCTCAATTGTAATAGCTGAAAAGAAAGCAATGCATTTTGAATGACTGTCAAAATCATTATCCAATATAAACATTATGTAGAGGTTGCTTCTTATATGTTCCTCTATATTCCAAATCCGTTGAGACCCATTTGTTACTGTCCAATCTCCTGTGCCAGAAAATGTTCCTACTATTAAAAAAAAAAAAATAATAACAGAAATGTTAGTGTGCCAGGGATAACTAAATATATAATATCACACTCCATATATTACACTGTTACATGTTAAATTCACATGGTGCCTTGACATGATGATATGTGAATGAGGTACATTGATGAGCAGGTAAATTAAAATGTAAATCCAAATGTTATTTTGGCTTGCAGTTTGCAATCCTTTGTGAATTATCTGTAATTTATCTTACAGTCAGTAACCCAAGTGTGCTTGTTTCCCTGGTTCAGGATCAGGTCATAGTGGTCAGAAGACATGGCTGGACTGGCATACGTAAATTCCTTTATTTGCTTGTTTATCTATTACAAGCAAATAAATTTGTTGTCTGGCAGTTTATATGTCAACATAAAGCACAAGTTAATGGGACACAATAGCCACCAAAACAACTTTAGCTTAATTTCGCAGTTGGGTGTATAGATCATGAATCTGAAGTCTCACTGCTCTATTCTCTGCCAATAAGGAGTTAAATTAATTGTGTTTCTGTCTCTGCAGCCCTGGTCACACCTCCCCTGGTTGTGACTCACACAGCCCTCGTGAAAAAAATGGTTTACATTTCCATCAGATATTAACTTACTGTAAAAGTTTGTATCTCCTGCTCTCTAAATTGAACTTTAATCACATAAAAGAGACTCCTGGAGGGTCTAGAAAGCTATTAGCAGAGCAGTAGATAACAAATTCTAAATTAAGCATAATAACAATAAAGGAAGTGTAAACATTAGATGACTCTTTACAGGAAGTGTTTAGGAAAGTTGTGTAAGTCACATGCAGGGAGGTGTTACTAGGGTGCATTAACAAAAGTGATTTAACTTCTAAATGGCAAGGAATTGAGCAGTGAGACTGCAGGAGCATGATCTATGCACCAAAACTGCTTGTCATTTGGTAACACTTCCGGGTTCGGCACTCCGCTGTGCGGAGCCGGAGCCCACCCCCGTCTGACGCAGCAATGACGGTATTTAGGGAGACCATGCCAGAGAGAGGGTGCTTGGTGATACTGGGAGCTACTTCCACCAGACTTACCTCTCCAGAGGCCCTGGCAATGTGGGTCCTACTTCTGAGTATGCAAGCCGGCTCTACAAGCTCTGAAGTCGTCCTAGCCTTCTGGGCTAAGACAAGTATGCTTCATGCCATAGAGGATTACTGGAGAACAGAAACTCACTTACTTTACAAGTGGACCATAGCCCTAAACTATTGGAGGACTACTCACATTAACCTTAAGTATAACTTTCAGCTATTTGTCTACAACATCATTTAATAATGAACTAATGCTGGCTTACTCAAATCTTCACTGCTTCAAGCTACTAATTATATGGAGGACAACTCCCATCATGCTTATTCACTATGAACTGTTTCTTGCTTTGCAAATACACTCAGTGCTTCAATATACAGATACACACAGAATTATATGGAGGACAACTCCCATCATGCTTATTAACTATGAACTGTTCCTGCTTTGCAAATATACTCAGCTACTTGCTTAATATTACCATTGAAGATTATTCTCATTAACCAAAGAATGTTACTTAATGCATCTCTGAGGAAATACTTAATAATGAACTTTGTGTTGTTGATTACTTGCACTTCTTCTTATTGGATTATTGCCTAAATGCAATTCATTTAAGTTTACCACTTATTAAAACTTTGTTTGAATCAAGTTACCAGAAATTCTCTCTTTTCTTAAAGTTACAGTATTGATACTTTAAAGATTCTCAGTTTTTTCACTATTGTAATTAGGGAGTTTTACAAGCTGCAGTTGAGTTCCAATCCAAATCACCCAAGTAGCATAACACTGCTCCATTAAGCTAAAGTTGTTTTGGTGACTATAGTGTCCCTTTAACTTAATAAACCCACGATGAGATCAAGTGAGATCACGTTCAGCAAGCTTTTTTTTTTTCTCACTGCACCATCATAGTATTAGTCCTTTAGTTTCACTCAAAGCTAAAGAAGGAGCTCACCTAGCTGTCCCATCTGCCTTGATCTGATTAGACAGTAACGTGCAATTTTCTGTACCTTCATATGTATACTGAATGTTTTTAAAAAAAACACTCTAGGCCAACTTAAAATTTACTTTAGCCCCCTTAAATGTAATGCATTTCTAAAATGTACTGGTACATCAATTAGAATATGAAACTACAACAAACTTCATTAACAGAAAATGTGCTGGGCTGTAGTTTACCTTCCAATAAAGAGTGCAACGATTATGCATATGAGAAAAACAGCCAAGAGAATTCCGAGTATAGCTGTCAGGCCGATCATGCCTTCACTGCGCAACAGAGGCAGGGTGATAGAGGTGTAGTTCATTACTGGGGAAATTAAAAAAGTGGAATTAGATAGATTATAGCCACAATATTTGTTTCCATTTAATTATTCTGTCTTTCACTTATCTGTACATCTTGTGTAAACGAATATTTGAGGACTTTTTAGAATTCTTTTTCTGAGACAATCACAGCTTTATTTACATATGGTATCAGTGGCAGATTTTTGTCTCAAATTTTTCAGTTATCTTCTAACATCTCTATAAATAATATTAGGAGGACTTTTAAAGCTCATCTTTGAAACTTTTTATTATTTTCATGGAGGTGCATCTACATTTTTTTTCACTACACGGTTATTTAACATGATATACTAATATTACATATGTATCACCAAAATCCACAATGTCTAAATATTATGATACAAAAACATTATAGAGATAAATGGAAATAAAAAAGAGTCAAATTAAAACAAATAATAACTAGTCGATACTTGCTTCTATTTTTTTTTTTTTTATAAAGATGAGAAATAAATATGGTAGGCCCCATTTGGTGGATCATAAACATCATGTGCCCACTCTCAGCTCAGAGAGTGGTTTAGAAATGGGTTGTATTTAGTACTAGGCAGTGTTTGTGTGTATGAATATAAGCAT